GTGGGTCCCATAATTAATAATTGAGATATCGCCGATATCATATCGGTATACCCAAAATCCACCAGCCGCCACTGATGTGTGGTATTATTTGATTTTAAGATATTTAATGTATAATATGCTCAAAGTTGCAATAAATCTTATATTTTCCAATAAATTATGTATTTAATTAGTACCCTGGTATACTCGTCACTTCCCTTTTTTCTTTAAGCAATAAATACTCTTTTATGCTAAAGTATTGTTTCTTGCCACTAATAATTTTTTATCAAGAGAGCAAACATTTCACGTACTAATAGTCGAGACAATTTCAAAACTGATTAAATTAACCAATAAATAAACAACAACAAATAAAATTGCAAATATCTGCGATAAGCAAGGGCTTGGTTGTAAGAATCGGTCTTGGAATGTTCGTGTCGGATTTTTTTAAAAACAGACCACAACAAATAAGCTAATTAATAGTAATTTGTTTCGTAAATGTATTACCAACGATTACGGTGCACATTAAGTTTGATTTGTTTGATATACGCACGCAGTTTTATGTGCCTCCACCAAAGTGAATTGAAATGAATAAATAAGTATCCGTTATTGGAAAAATTTCTATTGACTCGATGAAATATTACACCAACATGTAAACATGTGCCTTATGCTATTGGTCGTACGTAGCAATCAGTGCTTTTTATTTGTATGGGAGAAAAGGTCAAAGAAAATCAACAATTTTTACGGCAGATGTGTCAAGAATTACGAATTAATGCAACTCTAAGGCATTTTTAAACCCTGCACTGAGAAAAGCTATTCTACGAGGTGTGTTCAGAAAATATCGGGAATTTTCGTTTTTTGAAACAAATATTTATTTATTCGTCTACATTAATGTTGTCGCCTTCAAAATAGTCCCCATTGGATATTATGCACATGTGCCAGCTCTTCTTCCAATACTCGAAACACTTCTAAAACTCGATCTTTGGGATAGCCTTTATTTCTTTCAGCGATGCGCTTTCAATGTCATCTATGCTTGCAAAACGACGGCCCTTTAAGGTTCTCTTTATTTTTGGGAATAGGAAAAAGTCAGACAGAGGCATGTCTGGCGAATATGGAGGCTGGGGCATCATTACAGTATTGTTTTTGTTCAAAATTTAACAATTTTAGAACAAATTTTGCTGCCACGCGTTTCATACCCAAAACATTCAAAAAAATTTCATGGGATGAGCCAATCGATATACCAACATCATCAGCGACTTCTCTGATGGTTTATAACCATTTCCTTCACTTTTTCCATGTTTTTATCGGTTGTTAATGTGCTTGTGCGTTCGGGGCGTTCGTCATCTTCAACGTCTTCACGGCCATCTTGAAAACTCTTATACCACTTGTAAACTCTTGTTTTACTTTATTTCATTTTTTAAGCAAAATTGGATACAAATTCTTTGATCCATTTCTTTTAACGAACGAAAAATCGCCGAGTTCATAAAACACGTCTAACCTTAGCGGCTGCCACAGACAAAGTAAACAATGAAAACAGCTAAAGTTTTTATCATACTTCGGGGGCATGTATACCAACATAATAAAGAAAATTTTATGACAACCGGACCCTCTGAACCCGCGAAATTTAACAATTCCCGTTATTTTCTGAACACACCTCGTATATCCAGTATAGTTTTATATCTTTATATAGAGGGAATTTTCCAAAATTTGGTCTAATCGATTGGAAATCTTAAATTAAGAATAAGATTATTTCATTTAAAGTCTTTCTTAACATTTAACAGGCAAGAATAAGATCTGATTGTTTAAGGAAAGATTAATATTTAGTTTAATGTTCAAGTGATTTTTTTTTAAGAATAACGGTATTCTTACATCTAGAAAACATTTATTTCCGTGTGGCCTGCGCGTTCGCCAGATTTAAACCCATTAGATTTTTTCCTATAAAAATAGTGGCGTCTAAAATAAATTTTTAAAATAAAAAAACATTTAAAAACGCATAACCCAAAAATATGTCCGCAATTTCACAATAAAGAATAAAAAGTGGCTCATCAAAAAACGTAAAACTCGAATATTTGTTAAGAACCCAGTTGGTACTAATCGAATTTTTATTGCTATCAGGGTCTCACGTTTCAGAGAAGAAAAAAAGTATTAACAAACATCATCATCTTGGGCATTAATCAAGATTAATTATTCTTTTATAGCCACTACAAATTATACAGTATAATTCGTGTGGATTGAGAAATATGCATTTGCATCAATTAGGCTTTTATGTTTCGAATGAAATACATGTGTTGTGTTTTACATTGTATTCGCTTACATTAAAATTATCTAAAAAACATGTTACATCCTTTAAATCGTCATTTCGGTATCTCGCAGTAGGTAACTTCAAATGCAAAGATTTGTCTAGTAATACATCATTTGAAAGCTTGTTTTATTAGAAATTCATACCAATATGCAAAAACAATCCAACGGGGTAAGGTCTGGAGATCGGGCTGGCCACTCTAAACTTATTCTTATTTCAAGAAAAACTATCATATTATTTTAAATGCAAGCACCCTCAAATAAAATATACACTAAGTATACTTAATTTAAGAATAAGTATTTTTTGATACAAATGTTATAATTTAGCTGTTTTCATTGTTTACTTTGTCTGTGGCAGCCGCTAAGGTTAGACGTGTTTTATGAGCTCGGCGATTTTTCGTTCGTTAAAAGAAATGGATCAAAGAATTTGTATCCAATTTTGCTTAAAAAATGAAATAAATTCTGTGAAATGTTAACAAAGGCCTATAGTGAGTCTGCTATAACTAAATCAAGAGTTTACAAGTGGTATAAGAGTTTCCAAGATGGCCGTGAAGACGTTGAAGATGACGAACGCCCCGAACGCACAAGCATATTAACAACCGATAAAAACATGGAAAAAGTGGAAGAAATGGTTATAAACCATCAGTTTAAGTCGCTGATGATGGTATATCGGTTGTCTCATCCCATGAAATTTTTTCGAATGTTTTGGGTATGAAACGCGTGGCAGCAGAATTTGTTCTAAAATTGTTAAATTTTGAACAAAATTTTTGGCCAAAAACAATACTGTAATGATGCACCAGCCTCCATTTTCGCCAGACATGCCTCTGTCTGACTTTTTCCTATTCCCAAAAATAAAGAGAACCTTAAAGGGCCGTCGTTTTGCAAGCATAGATGACATTAAAAGCGCATCGCTGAAAGAACTAAAGGCTATCCCAAAGATCGAGTTTTAGAAGTGTTTCGAGTATTGGAAGAAGAGCTGGCACATGTGCATAATATCCAATGGGGACTATTTTGAAGGCGACAACATTAATGTAGACGAATAAATAAATATTTGTTTCAAAAAACGAATTTTCCAAATAAAATAAATAAAACAAAAATTAATTAATATTTTCTTTACGCAATCTAAAGTTGTTGCATCCTTTCTTATGGTAAAACTCAATTAGCCAGGTTAGAAAATAAACATCGAAAGTGAGCCGTAGACGCGAGTTAATTGTAGGTTATGCGCAAATTGAATTTGCCATTTTAATAATATTATCGCAGTGGATCGCAATGAAAATAACTTGTAAAGTAGTAATTAAATTTTATGTATCGCCGGTTAATCGCCGGCAATCTGCCATTAATAGGTAATCTAAAGCACAGTGGACTAAAAAATGATTCTTCTAATAGTTTTATAAAAAGTATAGTAATTGGACATTTTATATAGTAATTGGACACATGGACCATAGTTATTGGACATACAATTTGTATATAAACATAACAACTTTACATCAAATAATATAAATTGTCAAATATTTTTTAAAGGTTAATTTTTTTTTATTTCGTTTTTGTAAATATCACATAATTCATATATTTCTTTCTCGGATTCCTCATCCCTTTTCTGGATTCTGAAGGTAACTACCAATTCCTTGGTCTGACTTCTGAAATAGTTCGTTGCAAATATCATTAAGTGTGGTATCTCTAGTTTGTGAAGCATTTGTAATGTTTAGGTCGGAACAGGATGATTTATATATATCTAATATTTTTCGGGTGGTATGTTAAAAGTATTTTCCGAATTTATTAATTTTGTTGCCATTAGTTTTTTATGTTCTCCATCATGCACTGTTATTCTGCAAGATGTCCTGTGACGAAGAAATCACTCTCTAAAAATGAATTAGTCAAAAATGTCACAGCGAAAAAGCAGCCACTAATAATTCTCGTCACCAGCAATTTGTATCCAGGACATTTAGCAGTCAATTCCTATGAAATATTATTCGCTGAATCCGAAAATGTCGTCAAAAGTTATAAAAGTAGAACAGTTTTTGAAATATAATCAATTTTACATATAATATGAAATTGACTATATCTCAAAAACTGCTTAACTTTTATAGTTTTTGACGGTCTTTTCGGATTCAGGGGACAATTTTACATAAGAATTGGCTGGTAAAGGTCCGGGATACAAATAGAGTATGATATTGGACATAGGTCCAATAATAGAAATTTACATTTTTTACCAACCAGTAATTGGACACTGGCCATTTTACTGTTTAAAGTGACAATGTTTAAACCATGAGGAACACATTTATACCACACACCGATCTGTACACTTTTTAGAAATATTTTTTATTGTAATTTAAACACAGCCCTGCTCTTAACAAAAAGAAGTAGCGTGCGAACTTTTTTGTCCCACTGTGAATATTGAAGGCGTACGCTTATTTTTTTTCAGTGTATTCTCCTCTATGCTTGATTGCATCTCTTGTTTGGTTTATATGAAAATTGCTTGCATCGATGTTGGTCTATAATTTCTTAATTATCTCGAAATGTATCGACAATACTCATGTTGTTGATGTTTTTGAAATACCCATTGATTTAATGGCAAGATTAAAATTTGACAAACGTTTTACTAGTTATGGGTAAATTTATACTTTATTATTATCACTTCCCCAACGATACAAACTGAGAATTTTGTGGTCATGTTTACAAATATATATTTTACATTATGCATAAAATTAAATTATTTTTTTTTGTTTCAGAATATGTAGAAACAACTCATCTAGATGAGGGGGGCGACGTAGAACTTGTAAAACCCCTAAAAGTCAGCCCACCACCCCTGAATGATCATGACATAATTTTTGAACAAATGCACAACCAAAAAACAGAAGGTACAAATCCTAAATGTATTAATTTTTATTAATGTTTATTACAAAGGAACAATTATTAATATTTTCTAAATTAATTTAAATTAATATAGATTATTTCCCTCATTATAATATGAACCAATCAAAAGCCTTGAATTTTCGAATAAATTTCGTTTAAATAAGCGATTAAATCACTAGAACTATTTAACAGCGATTAAATTTTAGCCTTCATATTGGATTTTTGTTTACGATTTTATGGTGTTATTTACAAGTTTTATCAAACATTTTTTAAAAAACAATAAAAAATAAGTCATCTAGTTTACGAAATATCAATTATTACTTATTACATACCTTAAATTAATGGAATTTTCTTTAAAAAAATATTTATAAATTTTGACACATACGTCAGTTTTTATGAATTGTCAAATAGTTTCCTTTAATTCGAGAAATAATCTAGACGTATATCACTCAACCTATAAATTTAATCTGTCAAACTATGCTCAGTAAGTTTTTTATTTGATTTTTCTTCTTGGAAAATAGTTTCATGCAAAATAATTAAAAATAAAACCCCTCGACCGCTACGCGGTCTCGTGATTTTAATAAATTATTTTGCATTCAACATTTTCCAAGAAAAACCAAACAAAAAATTACTGAGCCTAGTTTAACCGATTAAATTCATAGTTCTCGTGATATAATATATGATTATATAATTAAAGTTTTAGATATGCAGCTATTTGTGCAGAATAAAGGCGGAAAATGTTAAAAAATTTTAAAAAAAACCGTGGCACGATTTGTTTTGTTGTTGGGTGTATTTCGAGAGGAAATCCTGCGTTGGGTTTTTATCGCTTTTTCAATAAACAGTGTTAATCCGAATGAAGAAATAAATTTCATACAGTCCCTGTAAATATAAATTGTATCTATTAGATACAATAAATACACATTTGTTGACTTATTTAATAAGTCGTCTAAATTTAAACAGCATTTAGCATTATTAAAAGCGTTGATTAAGAATTCGTTAAAGTCTCCACACAACGGTAAAATACCATTATATTATGTATTATATATAATACTATGTTGCCATGAATTCGTAGGTACATTTTGTTGTTTAAAATGCAGTTGTCGGCGTTTTTTAGAGAACTCAAATATAAAAATGGTTGATTTTAAGGTTATGTTTGTGCAAAAATTATTTTTTACCAATTTCTTAAAAATGTCCAAACTTAAATATAAATTATATTAGGTAAAGTTATCATTAGTTAATTCTGCACCAACAAATGTACTTACCGAATTGGATCCTTTGGCAAAACATGAAAATGCAACGATTTAGTTCTTGAATTTTATTTACAATTAAAAACGCAATAATTCACCATGATCCCTTAGATAAAATACACACACCAACGTAACTATATAAGCATTTAAGCGTTGAGTTTCTTAATCAACGATATAAAGAATAATCAATCGAAATCGAGTAGTAAACCAGTTTTTTAGTTTTTTCCTTGCAACGCAAAACACGAATAACGTGCGCGATTTACCCGATACTTCTTTAGCGTATAATGAACCATTTTTTTCAGATGTACCAACTTCGAAACACCACAGCGGCCATTTTAGGCACAAAATGGCTGAAGTTTGGGACCCTTATCCGAGATACGAAATTTACGCTTTTGGGGAAAAATTACTTCTCGAATTGTCACACGATTCCAAATTCTACCATCCAGACTTACAGGTGAGAAAAAAACAAGGTGGCAACATGGCACTTTTAACCGCAATTAATTATTTGTTTTATAATTCAAAAGTTTATGTTCATTAATTTGCTATTTAAAAACCTATCCACCGTGAAGTGTAATATCTCAGTAAGTTGATAAATATTTGATGTATGTAAAAAATATTAAGGTGTCAAAAGATACAATAACTTATTTCAAATACACAAAGGGATGTTTAAAAAAACATACGAAATCCTAAACTCCGTGAAGCTCTAATATTCAAAATGTATGATTTCTTAAAATTCTTACATTAGTGCAAAACCACTTATGTTATGTTATTACTAGACCTGGTGGCTTCCCAAAAACCCCATTCTAGACTAACAGTGAAACAACCAAAAATAAAAAATAATCATTTTCACTTGGGGGACATCTCAATATATTCACCCATATAATTTTTGGCGTTTTTTTCTATGCTAATTGCTTATTAAAATTTCACATTTAATAAAGTTATGAATCAAACTTCTTGTGACCTACATAAACATGTACCTACATAAAAAAATAACTGACACTATAGTGAGCAAGTTAAAAACAAAACTACGTAATTTCTATTCCGAACACCTAAAAGTCATTTTGTTTAATTTATTTCGGTCACACGGACACGTTGATTAAAAATTGCTTACATCGAAAACCAAAATTAATATTCATGAAATATGACAAATTTCTACGTGAATTTGATTACGAATCTAGGAATTATATTTATAAAAACTGACCATAAAAATAATCTAATTTATATATATATATATATATATATATATACAGGGTGAGTCATTTAACTTGAACTCTTTTTTTCGGTTGAACACTCCCGTTTGTAGTAAACTGCTCGACTGTACGGTGAAATGAAGTACGTGATCGAATTTTATCCGGAAAACGCTGAGCGTAGATATTAACGGCATCATCAAGATTCCTGCCTGCTTCTCCATAAATCAAAATCATTTCTATTTTTTCTTTTACTGCTAAAAAATCCATTATGAATAACGGCTTAACGAATTGTTTGCAAATTAATCTTTGAACTATATTGATTAAATAATGATACACTATGTATAAATAGTTTCTTTACACCTCAATAATAATTATTATTTATAGCTAAATACCATTTTTTATACCTCAATTAGGATTAAATTAATTAATTGACAAAATAATGTTTTTTTTTACCTTAAATGAGGTACCTATTTTTATTAAAAATAGTACAATAATCCTTTAAACTAAAGGATTTAATGCTGGCAGGTAAAAAGTGACCATGGTGCGCAATTGATAATTATCACCGAATGAAATAATGTATAAAACTTAACCAAAGGAAACTTAAATATTAGTTAAAAAATCGTGGGTACTTAAAAAAATCAGATTTAATTTAATAAGATAATTATTACCAAAAAAAGTGATATTTTTATAGAAAAATTATTGCAGAATCGTATACAGAAAAAAAATCGAAAAAAATTGATTTTTTTTCATTACAGCGCCATCTATTACAAATATTAAAAAATGTTTTAGACAAAATCTACCTATTTTTAGTCGAATGATCCGAATCTGCAATAAAAATTTTAAAGTTACCCCCTGTTCCCCCTATAAGGAGGAAAGTTTGAGGACAAATTTTAGTACTGATTGATTCGTCAAATGCATACTAACTGATATATTTCAAGAAATAAACATCATATTTCTTGCTACCTGCTTTTCGACCCTTTGGCTTTTAATCGCTTTTCTTGGTCAATTCGAATTCAAAAAAAAATAATTTTTTTTTAGATTATAACCCATCATCATGACAACTACACCGAACGCTCGAGACATGACCCCAAAATGGCGGCATGTTTTTACTCGGGAACTGTCAACAAAGACCCAGATTCCGACGTTGCCGTATCTCTGTGCCACGGAATGGTGAGTAAAAAAAATAATTAACAAATCGAACTAGGTACCCAATAAACAATTTGTACTACTTATCGTAACGATAAATTAGGTATATAAAAGTTATATAAGAGTTGTCAAGTTTTATAAGAGTTTAAAAGGTTTTATAAAATCGCCATTTAGTTTACTAGTTTTATAATGGTCATATAAGGTTACTTTAAACTCTAGGTATACAATTGTTTCTACAAACATTTTATATAACCTTTAGTAACCGTTACCAGTGGGTTTATAAAGAAGGTTTAAGTTTGCAGTTACTTGTTTTATAAAACCATTGTGTTTTATTTTTTTTAAATATAAATTATGAGTAATTAAATATTTAAGTGCTTAATAAACCAAAAATGTTTAGTAATTGAAACGAGAAATTAATCAAAGAAGGAAAAACGCCGGTAGCAGTTCTTTAGGAAGTTATGTAGTGGTTTCCATAATACTCCTGTTATCTCTAGTTATAAAACTTGAGTTTTATAGTGTTAATAAAATAGGTACCGATAACCTTCATAAACACCCCAAATAAGCTCTTTAAGGGGTATATAAGAGTGCTATAAACATTTATGGAAACCACTATAAAAACAAAAATGTTTATTGGGAGATTTACCATTTATGCTTATAGTACCCTGACAAGCCGCCACTGCTGTATAATTATAAACGTTTTTAAGGTACCTATTAAACTTATTAAAAATAACCTACTGGGGTCCATTATAAAGTCATTAAAAACCAAACAACACTCCTAACAGTTTTTGTATCTCGCATAATATTCTTTTAATAGTAGACCTAGCGAATTTTATAAATACATAGTGTGATTCAAATATTTAACAAATAACAAATTTAGTTTTATTAATAATGTTCCTGTATAAAATCTGAAAACTAAGTTGTTGGTTATAATTTGCTTGCAAATATCTTTTCAGTGATGTCAGATAACCACACTTTTTATTTTAAAACCACCAAAATTTTTGTTTGTGGTTTAGTGGGTTACATTTGACGCGTTTCTCGTAAAAACATCATTAGTCCAAAATTAACATATTTGGGAAAATGAAAAAAACTCTCCGACATTCCCATTTTTTACCAAAGTACTTTATTGACCTATTTACTACATGTAAAAAAATGTAAGATGCTTTGTCCAGAATTCCTCATGTTTTTTGTTTCGACGAATATGAAAAAAACACAAAAAATACATGAACATGTGAGGTTTTTAGAAGAAAAAAACGAACAATTCTTCTTACTACAAACACTACAAACTAAATATTAACTCTGAGTAACAAAAAGTTATCATACAATTTTCTATTGCTGTGGTCATGTAAAAGAGGTAGAAGCTTTTTGCACATGTGTCTTTCTTAGACGAAACGGAGTGGACTTGTGATGTTTTTAGAAGAACAAGCTAAATTTCATATTTAATTATTATGGAACCTATGATATTTTTACGAGAAACACTTATTTGTATACGTATATATTAGGAAACAGTTGGTGCTAATATCTAAATTTCGACGATATTGGACTAATGATGTTTTTCCGAGAAACGCCTCATTTGTTCAACCAAAGTCTAAATTTTTATGTATTTTGAAATAACATTTTAGCAATTAAATTAGTTTTTTTATCTAAATTGTAAAATTAGTACAGTTTAGCATATAGGATAACGATTTTATAAGTCAAAAAGTGCGCGTTTCGGGTGTTTCACGATTTTGCCTCTATGTCCTGAACAAAAGTATAATATTAACTAATCATGTCCATGTGTCATGGAATGACCCATATAGTTAAATACAGTGAACTTGAACTAATATAAATAGGTACGTAGGTATAAACGAAACGTCAGAACTTTTCCTATTAAAACTATTAATCTAAAACGTCTAAACAAAAGTTAAAACGAGATTTTTAACAGGTTAGTTTATTTATTTATCGTTTTTTACGTAAGAAAATAAAAAAAATCTTTCGATTAGGTTTTTTTTGATGCCTAAAATTTTAAACATCTGTTTACTATAAAATACACAGAAATTATTAAATAATAGTATATTATGTATCTAATTTTAACCTTTAAATATTTTTTGCCAGTTGTAAAAAATTGTTACTAAAAATTTTTTATGCAAAAATTAAATAAAAAATCAATAAATACAAAAATTTTATGCCCTTAAAGCTTTAGCAATGATTAAAAAATTTAGTGCCTATTTTAAAAACTCCATATCCACAAAATTAATTTTTTCATCGGTTTTTTTCTTTCTGTTTACTCAGATAAAGTTGGGACAAGTTAATAAATCCAAAAGCACTTAGTTAAGATATTTACAATTTGGGCCCATAACCTTAAATTTGAAAGAAATGCACTAGATTCTGTTATAAGTTGCCAGATTTTGTTTGAATTGACCGTCATTACAAAAATGACAACATAAACAATTAATAAAAACGCCAAATTTGCTTTGTTGATTTTGTCATTTTAGTAATTAAGCTAAATTTAAACAAATCTGGCAACTTTTTTTGACCGAATCTAGAAACGCTGGTTGTTGCCAACCACAACATAATAAATTAAATTAGGCAACCAGATTAGCCTACTCGAATTAAATTGTTTATAAATAGGCCGAAAATAGGATGCAATAAAATTATTCACCGGTATTAATTTTGCTGCGAGATTGGCAATAGCTGGTATTTTTTTTCAAATGCAAAGGTATGTCATACCAATATTTCCATAACACAGCGATGAAAAAGATGAACATATTTCCTAACCAGCACAAACGCAAAGTAATTTTAAAGACTTTTATCAATTATTTATTGCCCACTTAATTTTAAGTGATAGTTAAACACCTGTTTACGTTGAAAATTTAAGGTGCGAATAGCTGAGTTTCACCGTAAGAATTGTTTCGGCAGAAATAAATCTTTTGGTTGAGAGAACGCGATTCTGTTCCTTATAAAACTACATAAATAATCATTTGTGAGAATCAATGTAGTCACGATTTTTCTTTTAAAACGTCAAGAAAGCTCAAGGTCAAGAATTGAAGTACAAAATGGGAATTTATTTAATACATCTCTTAATTTTTTTGTTTTTTTCTTAATCTTGAAATTTTTTTGGTAATAATTATCTTATTATATAACTAATATTTAAGTTTCTTTTGGTTTTATACATTATTTCATTTGGTGATAATTATCAGTTGCGCACCATGGTAACTTTTTACCTGCTAACATTAAATCCTTCAATTTAAAGAAATAAATATTGTACTATTTTTAATAAAAATACCTCATTTAAGGTAAAAAAACATTATTTTGTCAATTAATTAATTTATTCCCAATTGAGGTGTAAAAAATAGTATTTAGTTATAAATAATAATTATTATTAAGGTATAAAGAATCTATTTATAAATAGTTTAGCATTATTTAATCAATTTTGTTCAAAGATTAATTTGCAAACACCTTTCGTTAAGCAGTTATTCATAATGGATTTTTGACAGTGGAAGATAAAATAGAAACGATTTTGATTTATGATCTATAGATAATTCATTATTTCCACTCTATAGAGATTTGGTAATAAAGACATTCGTCAAAAACGTATTTTATAATACAAAAAAAGTGCTCTTTTAGTTCCACCCTTACTTCTTAAGAAGTCCCATAAGCCAACTGAATGGCTTGTGCGGGTTAGGGGTAGGAACGGACCGCGGGCTTAAAGTCCCCTCCGAAGGACTAATACACAATAGGACAAACACAAATACATATAATATTTCTTGAATGGGTATCTCAATGTTGAATACTTTTTTTTTGTGAATGAAGTTTAAAGAGTGAAATTGATCAATAAGATCGATTTTGCAACGACCATTAGCGAAAGGTGTGGGAGAGTAGCTTTTGGATTGTTGACCTTAGCGTTTGTTCGTTACTTTACTATGGCGTACGATGCATGAAAGCGCGAGTAAAAATTAAATCGATTTTTGATGTTGGATGCATTAACATTAAATTTTAATTTGTGGGTTATGGTTAATTAACCTTAAAATTGACATTTGACAGTTTGATGACACCCCTGATAATCGCGACCAATGCGATATAATGACGTCAGCATTACCAACTTTAAATTGTTAAGTTACTGCCGTTAAATTTGATTTTTTTAAGGCGTAAAGCCTGAATTATAGATTGCCTTTCTTCCTTCCTTCCTTCCTCCCGTAGAAGATGAACAATACGAAGCATTTCCCGTGTAAGAATGTTTAATACTTTGTGATAATATTTTGCAATTATAGTAATAAAAAATCAAAGGATAAAATATTTTCTTAACAAAATCATATTTTAAAGTTATTTTAATATTTTAAAGTATCAATAATTGTTAAGTTTAATTTAAATTAATAACGGGCAATGTTAATGGTGACAATTACGTCAAAAATGTTTATTTAAATCGTAGTGCCATTTATAGATTTCCGTACCGTAAGGACGGCATTCCTTCCTCCCGTAGAAATTTCTAAGTTTTATATTTTACCGTAAAGGTCTTTGACATGACCAATCACAGTGCTTGTTATGGACATGCGCTGTAGGGTGACAGCGCGTAGGCACAAAATATTTAAAATACATGATTGTTTAGTATTATTTAAGATAGGTGTTTAGTTTATTAAATAATTTGTGTCTCTAAATAGGATATTTAGATATTTATGATCAATATCTATTATTTTTAGAAACGTTGCTTTGTAAAACCCCGTAGTTTTCCGGTCTTGGTAAAGTGGGCGGTCTTCCAACGTCTTGTTCGATGTTTTTTTTCATTATACTGCCCTACTATGGAGAAAGGCAGTGACTACAAATGCTATGATAAAGCTATGGACATTTTGAATCTTAATTCAACAAAGAAATGCAGTAAACTATCTTTTAAGTTAAATAAATCAGTTAAATAGGTACCTACTGCTTTTTATAAAAATGTAGTTTATGCTAATTTCCCACAAATTTCTTGTTTAGCAGTTATCTCCATAGTTGGGCAGTATACAACAAGCTGCCTGGGCAATTAAAATTGTGATCACTGCACTAATATCTAA